CCCCTCCCAGGCTGCTGGTGGGAGCCCCTCAGGATGAGGAGCCACAGAACGGCACGAGGACGGGGGCTGTCTATGCCTGTCCCCTCTCCCCCTCCAAAAGCGACTGCGAGCGGCTCGACATCGAGCTGAGAAGTGCGTGAGACCTCCCTCCCCCCCCCAACCCCCCAGGATGTGCCCAAGCATCAGCCTCCCCTATCTGGCAGGGGGTCTGTGTGTCCCCCCCCACCTTCACATCTTGCTTTCCCAGGTGAGCCCGACAAGTACATCATTGAGGACATGTGGCTGGGGGTGACAGTGGCCAGCCAACGGCAGCCAGCTGGCAGGGTGCTGGTGAGTGCACAAACACACACACGGCTCCTTGCACGTGTGCACCATAGCTCCTTGCACACACGCACTGCAGTTCCTTGGACGCGTGCACCGTGGGTCCTTGCACATCTGCCCTGCAGTTCCTTGCACACGTGCAGTGTGACTCTTTGCATGTGTGCACCACAGTTCCTTGGGCACGTGCACGCTTTGCACATGTGCAATGCAGTGCTTTGCATGCGTGCACCGTGGCTCCTTACACGTGTGCATCGGTTCTTTGCACATGTGCACCGTGGCTCCTTGCGTGCGTGCACTGCAGTTCCTTACAGATGTGCACTGCAGTTCCTTGGAAGCGTGCACCATGGATCCTTGCACGTCTGCTCTGCAGTTCCTCGCACGTGTGCACCACGGTTCCTTGGACACGTGCGCTGTGGTTCCTCCCTGCATGTGTGCAGTGCAGCATTTTGCACGTGTGCATCGTGGCTCCTTGCACACGTGGCAGTTCTTTGCACACGTGCACCGTGGCTCCTTGCATGCTTGCACTACAGCTCCTTGCACGTGTGCACCACAGTTCCTTGCACACCTACGCTGCAATTCTTTGCATAAGTGCCCCCCCCCATGGTAGGAAATGGGGTATGAGCTGGGGAGGATCTGAATCTGACCTATTGGTGCTGGAGGGGGCAGAAAGAGCTGTGACCCCCTGAACTGGGGGTCCCTAGGTGCTGGGGTTGGGGGAGGGGGTCTATTGTGCACTGCCCCCCTAGGGTTGCTATTGCACCGAGGGGAATGGGGGGGAGAAATGGGCTCAAACTACAGCCCCCAGCATGCATTGGGGAGGGGGGAGGAGGGGGGCGCTGAGGGCTGGCAGCAGCAGTGCATGCTGGGAGTTGTAGTTTGCAAGGCTGATCCCCTCCTGGGGGCGATGCAGGGGGGGCTGCAGGGTCACCCCCCCATCTGCCCTGTGGGGTCAGCATGGATGAGGGTGAGGTGAGGGGGTGAAGGGGGTTGGACCCTTCATCCCAGGGCTGTCCCTGCAGGCGTGTGCTCACCGTTACACCAAAGTGCTGTGGTCGGGCAGCGAGGACCAACGGCGCATGGTTGGACGCTGCTACGTGCGGGGCAACGACCTCAGCTTGGATCTGAGCGACGAATGGCAAACGTACCACAACGAGATGTGCAACTCCAACATGGACGCCGAGGAGACTGGCATGTGCCAGATGGGTGCCAGCGCTGGCTTCACTGCCAACATCATTTATTTTGGGGCACCCGGAGCCTATAATTGGCAGGGTGCGTGTGTGTGGGGGGTATGATGCTCCTTTTTGTGTGTTTGTGCCCTGCGTGGTGCTGATCTGTGGGTGCTGAGTGTGTGTTGTGCACTGCGTGTGGCACGTGTGCATATCTGCATGGCAGGGTTTCTGTGTGCTCAGCCTGGTGCACGCGTGTTGTTTGTGGTGCAGGCAGCCAGGTGTGCGTGCCCACGTGCATTCTTTGTGCTCAGATGTGCAGCTGTGCAGACGCGTGTGCTCTGCTGCCCGCGTGCACTTCTGGAGGGTGAGGCGTTGCGTGAGCGTGCAGGCGTGCATTTCTGTATGCTGAGGCATTGCACACGCGTGGAAACGTGGGCGTGTTCTGATGCACGCGCTTCTGTATGGTGAGACATTGCAAGGCGTGCAAACAGGTGTGCTCTGGTGCATATATGTGCACTTCTGTATGGTGAGATATTGCACGAGTGTGCAAGTGTCCATGTTCCAGAGCACTTTTGGGTGGTGAGACGTTGCGTGAGCTTGCAGATGTGCACGTGTGCATTTCTGTGTGTTGAGGCATTGCACGTGCGTGCAAATGTGTGCGTGTGTTTTGATGCACGCGTGCATTTCTGCATGGGAAGATGTTCTGCAAGCATGTGAGTGTGCATGTTGTTTTACATGCGTGCATTTCTGTGCATTAAGACATTGCACAGGCGTGCAAGCAGGTGTGCTCTGGTGCTTATATGTGCACTTCTGTATGGTGAGATACTGCACAAGCGTGCAAATGTGCGTGCTCCAGTGCACTTCTGTATGGTGAGACGTTGCACGAACATGCAAACACGTGCATGTTCCAGTGCATCTGTGCACACTTATGGATGGTAAGAAGCATGCAAGTGTGCACGTTGTTTCGTATGCATGCACTCCTGTACATGAAGACATTGCACAAGCGTGCAAGCAGGTGTGCTCTGGTGCATATATGTGCACTTCTGCACGGTGGGCCATTGCATGAGGATATGTAAGGGTGCAGACGTGCATGGCCTGACACATTCGTGCGCGTTTGTACGGTGAGATGCTGGATAAGATGCAGGTGTGTGCATGTTCCTGTGCACGGTTACACCTCCGTGTGGTGAGACTGCATGCAAACAGGTGCGTGTTCTGGTGCATGCACCCTGCCACGTGCACGCTTGCACACTGGGTACAGGCGTGCAAGGAGGGCTGCCCACTGTTGCAGGTACCAATTACATGCTGCAGCGGGAGACGTGGGACCTGCACGACTTCTCCTACCCCAACGAGAAGAACGGCAACACCTACATAGGTGGGGGCAGCCCTGGTTCTGGGTGGGTGTTGGGTGGGGGGGGAGGAAAGTCTGGAGGTGTGGGGCACAGAGGGGCTGGGAGACCCCCAGGGCTGGAGGAGGGGTTGGATGGGAGCGGTGTTGGGGTTGGAGGGGAGAGGTTTTGGGATCTGGGGGGATTTGGCAGCGGTGCTTTGGCTGCAGGGTATGCAGCAGAGGTGGGCAGCGGGGTGCTGCAGCAGGAGGCGGTGACGGTGGTGGCCGGAGCCCCCCGGTATCAGCACACTGGGGCTGTGTATCTGCTGAGCACCAGCCCCCAGCAGACCCTGCAGAGGAGTGGGTTGCTACGAGGCCACCAGGTCGGCTCCTACTTCGGCAGCGCCGTGGCTTTGGCGGATCTCAATAATGATGGGTGAGAGTGGGGGTGGAGGAGGGAGGGTTGTTGGGGAGGGG